CCAATTTTCAGTTCCTGCTCCCTGCAGTGCATGCAGTAAGACTGGGGACAGGGCAGGGGAGAACACAAACAAGGGCTTGGAAATCCCAAACAAGGCTGCAGTGGCATCAAGCAGCAGCCACAGTCAGGTCCAGGTGGGACTCCTTGGTCCCCTTCTCTCCTCCCAGAGGCCACCAAAGCATCCTGCCTCAGAGCCAGCCCGAGGCAGAGCAGCTGTGAACACAGCAAACAGGGCAGCGGGGGCGTTGGTGGCAGCTAGAAAATGATGCAAAGACAGTGTGAGGACGTTCTAGCAAACCCTAGCCTGCCCTTTATGAATCTGCATGCCCAGTGGGGGAATTTTTTTTWAAAGCATATAGAAGATCACCCTGATCTTCAAACATCAAAAGCTTTAAAGACAAGCAAGAGATTGCAATTGCTAGGATTATTTCAGCTTTGAAAAAGGAAGCGTCAGGATTTAGCTGGACTTTTTAAGATTATGAGAAGAGAGCAAGGGAGCTAAGAGAATGCAAGAAAAAAAAATGGGAGCAGTAAGAGGCCAGACATCTGTTATCTACCATTACAGGAGGGCAAAGAGCAGAGCCCAAAATTGGATCAAGTCATGAGTAATTCCTCCTAGTGAGCCCAAAGACAGAGGTGAGCAAGTCACGCTGCTCCCAGGGCACRGGCTGCCTTCCTGCTCCGCTGGGCGGCTCAGCCGGGCAGCTGAGTGTTTTCCGGCCACTTTCACCTCCATCCCGAGCATCGAGCTGGAGACTGGGCTTAGAGAAGCAATGCTGCCGTCAGGGTGCCCTGTATTTCACATGGCACTGTATTTCACATGACCCCTCTCTGCCCATTAGGATGGGATAGTTGCATCATGCCAAGCACCAGCACCCCTGTTTGCAGGGCAAAGCAGCTCACAGGACTTTCCCAGTGCCGTCCAGACCCATTTCTGGAGAGTTTTCTTGGTGAACCACATGTGGGCACTGGTGTGAGCACAGGAGCATCAAAAGGGTGGTTCAAAAGCAGGGACACAGCCCCACCATGCCATTCAATGCACCCCCAGCACGCAGCCGCACAGCAGGACGCCGCAGAAACGGCAGCAGGAAAGTGAACCACGACTTCTGRTAAGGGAGAAGGGGATTTTTTTGTGGTCACAGAGCGGGGTGGGATGAGGAACAAGGTAGAACAAGGATCATCAGCTCCATGTCGCCTCTCCTGCCTCTCAACCGCGTGTGAATGCCAGGACATCCCAAGCAGTTGCATTCATCCCATTTTTTCCTGGTGGTCCTTCGCAGAGGGACTGCGACATGAAAGCCCGCAGCAGCATTCCTTGGCCGGGGAAGAAGCTCACTGCATTGAGTCTGTTGGCAGCTTTGCTTAGCATCCCAAGGAGCTGAATAACCAGGCAGTGAGTTCAGAAAACACTTCAGCCAGCGGGGCCAAGGACGGGATAGCTGCACATGAAAAAAATTCTCAGTAATGGATGACTATGAAAGCACAGAGCCCGGTACAGCAAGGCATCCACAGAGTCACAGAACCCTTACAGTTGGAAGGGACCTCTAGAGATCMCCCAGTCCAACCCCCTGCACACGCAGGGTCACCCAGAGCACGGGGCACAGGCTGCGTCCAGGCAGGTTTGGGAGATCCCCAGAGAAGGAGACTCCACAGCCTCCCTGGGCAGCCTGTGCCAGGGCTCTGGCATCCTTACTGTTAAGAAATATTTTCTTAAGWTCCTGKGGAACKTTTGGTGCCTCAGCTTGTGGCCGTTTCCTCTAGTCCTGTCGCTGGCCACCACTGAAAAGAGGCCRSCYCCTCCTCCTCACTGCCTCCCTTGAGGTATCTATAGACACTGATCAGGTCCCCCCTCAGCCTTCTCTTCTCCAGGCTGAACAGRCCCAGCTCYCTCAGCCTTTGCTCACAGGGYAGATGTTCCAGGCCCCTGATCATCCTCGTAGYCCTGCGCTGGACTCTCTCCAGCAGCTCCACATCCCTCTTGTACTGGGGAGCCCAGAACTGGACACAGTCTCCAGATGTGGCCTCCCCAGGGCTGTGTAGAGGGGGACGATCCCCTCCCTCGACCTGCTGGAGACGCTCTTCTAAATGCACCCCAGGATCCCGTTGGCCTTCTTGGCCACCAGGGCACACTGCTGTCTCATGGTCATCGTGTCATCCACCACAACRCCCAGGTCCCTCTCTGCRGGRCTGCTCTCCAGCTGGTCCACCCCTARTCTGTACTGGTGTCCRGGGTTATTCCTSCCCAAGTGCAGGACCCTGCACTTGYCCTTGTTGAACYKCATGAGGTTTCTCACYGCCCAGTYSTCCAGTCTGTCCAGGTCCCTCTGGATGGCAGCACAGCCCTCAGGGCTATCAGCTACTCCTCCCAGTTTGGTATCATCAGCAAACTTACCGAGTCCTCTCCAATACTCTGAGTGCTGAACACRAAAAAGGAACCCGCCTGATGCAGTGGCCCACTTAAAACGTTACCCTGCAGTATCGTAGTCCCATCAAAACCACGGCAGTGCTTCTCTGCRGAAGAGCAAAGCAACCTGCTTGCTTGCCACCTGGGCACTCGTGGCACAGAAACRGCTGTAAGGTGAATAGAAAGCAGAGAACTATTTTTTACATCAKATTTTTTACATTCCTTTTTCTCGGCTCCTCAAGCATCGTTTCTACACCATTGGTCTCCAAGGCTTGCAGCCAGCAGGGAAAGGCAAGAGGCTCCCATGGTGTCTTCCATTTGAGAACCTAGATGCAACTTGGACGCTTAGGAGTTTGGTGAATCTTAATCTCTCTTGCAGTACATACATATCTGTGGTACAAAGATTATTAGGYACCTAAACTTTGTTAACACTCGTAAGTGTCCTCTGATACAGTGCTTCTGAAAACCTATCTAGCTGCCTTTCATATATTTACATGTCAAACCACTTTTACAAAGCTGATTTTGGACAGAACAGAGCAACGTTTAGGTTCAGTAGTGGGTAAGCAGAGACTACTGAGAACCTAGAGTGAGAAGCATCTCAACTGCCGCCAGAGCACCAGAACTGGACWGTTCTGGTCCAGCTCAGCAGCTAGGTAGGTCAGCAGAGAAAAGCCAGGGAAGCCGATATCGGGGGAATTTTGTGTCACGTGCCCGAAGGTGAATGCAAGTTGCAGACAGCAGCTCCCRCTTCCCTTTCCACATGAAACAAGCTATGTCTGGTTTTGTCCCCCAAAGACTTCTCCTGTATATCTGGTAAGGCTCTCAGCACAACTCGTGTGTGTGTCGAAACACACTGAAAAAAAAAGAAAAAAGCCACACTCTTCCCAAATTATTTTCACTGTTGCTTTGAACATAGACTGATCAGGAACCAAGGGCTCATCTTTTTCTCAGTGATGGGRAAGAGAAGATATTCAAGTATAAAGAAAGAGAAGATGGAAAAGCRAATAGGTACCACACAGGGAAATGGCTCCAGATTGAAAGTTGCTAATACCTGAGGACGAGGTATGAATGAATATCTTTGTCTTCACTGTTTAATGGAGCTCTACAGGAGTCTGGCTAAGCTAGAACCAGGTTAGCAGCACTAACCTCACACATCACGGGCCCTTGCAGAGCACCATTGTAGGAAACATCCTCAAAGTATCTTTGAAATCTTTCGCCAGCAAGTTCCAATTCTTCATGATTTTAAGATGCTCTTTGTCCCTTTAACCTAAGGAAGGAAAATTTTAGTGACACTTGGTCAGATGATGGAAAATAAGGATTCATTTCCTATATAGGGTCTTCATTTCATATATTACCAGAAACAAAGCAAAAAGATAAATTATATAGAGAAGCAGACAGAATTTGTCTTTAAAAGTGTGCATTTTCAGTCATTTTGACCAAATGAGTCTGCAGATACATATTCTCATACATAAATCAGACATGCAGGCAGAAGCAAWGGCAGTGATAATTTCTGCCATTTCCTCAAAACCACCGCCATTACAGAAGCTGCTGTGGCCACAAAGTAACCCACGTTGCTGTGCTGACAGGGTGCTTGATGCACCAAGGATATCCACCAAGACATCCTTAGGTATTCACTAATGCTCTTGCCTTGAGACCCCACTGTTTGCCCCACCTGGAAACAGACACCAGTCTCCCTTTGGTTACCACATCCCTGTTTCAGCCGCTGTCTCAGGACGTCTCGCCTCCTCTGCAGGGCGACTCTTTGAACCCACACGGTGTCTCCCAACGTGTCTGATGCACGAACTGGGGAGACMGAAGGTATGATGTGGTGCTCCGTGAGCTGAAGGCAATGCTTGGGTGCGCTGTTAGTGGGCTCGGACCAAGCCAGGGACCACGTGACAGCCAACAACGAGAGGAASCAAAACACACAAAGCAGCCCTCTAGGATTTAAAAGGTTTGAAAAGCACACAAAAGGGGAGAAATGCAATAAAAACCTCTGGAGCTACAGATTACCTTTCACTTCCCAGAAAGTATTATTGTTATTAAGGAAGATATTGAAAGGCAAAAATAGGAGCTGGATGCCCTACTTCCACTGCCTTGCACTGGGAGCTGCAGTTTTGTTTCCTTTTATGCCTCTCGCTATCTCCTCTGTTCTTTTCAACCTGCAGTGAAATGCAAAAGCCTCCAATGACTCTGATGAGCAGCTTAAAGCAGGAGAATACTGAGGGAGAAGGATTCCCCCAGGCTTGAGGCAGGGGGGCCTGGCAAGCTGCTCCCCCCGACACATTTTCTGCTTCGTGTCCATCAGCAAGTGGCGAGGCAGAAGGAGCTGGTGCCTGTGCCAGGAGATCGCGCCGTTGATAAGGGCGCACCTATTAGGCAAGCAATCAGTTTAGCATGGGTGCTCCTTGTTTATTCAGCTAATGGCCAAAGTTATGTCCACATTCTAGTGTAAATTAAGTATTCAGCTATTTTACAGTAAGTTGGTCAGCCTTAGCTTCAGTAATTAGGGTTTAGTGTTTAATTAATCTCTTGTGGTCACACACAAGATAGAGCAATCTCTGTCTCACCCTGTCGGCTTACCTGGTAAAGGGAAGAGGAGATAAAGAAAATAAAGCACCAAAGCTGCAAGTGTCTCGCTCATCCCCATTGCAGAGACATTAAATCAGGTTGGAAGCTCTTCTCCTTCTTCCTTCGCTGTTGAAAGAGCGTTTGGGTTAAGGTAGCAAAACTGAAAAATTAGCCAGGACATCAGCTGTGCACAAGGGAGAGAAGGAAACTCACGGGATGTGTTCCTCGTAGCTCAAAGATCTGATACCCCTTTGGCCACACAGCACCGAGCTGACCAAATTACTTCTCCAGCTTGCACAAGTGCACAGAGCACTCGCAGGATCCTTGCAGTGGGAGGCCCGTGCATAACAACCCTGGAGGAGGAGGATGACGGCATCACGAGGGGGCTGCTGCCACGCTGGGGTCCGGGGGTTCCCTGTGCCAGGCCYGCGCCGGAGCAACCGCCGCAGGTCCAGGCAAGGCCTCCCGCAGGGCTGCCCTCGGGGCGCCCCGGCCTCTCCCTGCAGCCCCACACAGAGCCCCTGGCCGCGCGGCCCGGCCCCCGCTGCCAGGACACAACCTGGGCGCCACAGCCGCGCCGCGGGACAGCGGGAGGGCCGCCCGGGCCRCCCACTCCCCGCGGCGCCCACATCTCCGCCAGGCTCCGGTGCGGGCAGGTGAATCCGTGCCCAGAGGGAAGGTGCCAGCGCAGCCCGGCCCAGCTCGCGGGAGCGGGGACAKCGGCCGGATCCACAAGCAGGGAAATCAGCTGTGTGTGTGCAGCCTCGTGCTGCACSGACGCACTGCCACGACCCGGCACGAAGCAGGGCGGCTTTTATGGACTGCTGAGGCTCCCAGCTCCTGCAGACTCCCAAGACGCGAGYGCCGGTCGTGGTGCCGCAGGAGCACCCGAGCGGCTCCAGCTGCCCGGCCCGCCGGGAACAGAGTCCGGCTCAAGGAAAGCAGTGCCCGAGGGAGCCGGCAGCTCCTTCAGCTGGATATCGGCCCCTCCTTGGTGCTTCCTACAGGCCTGGGAGCAGACRGGCTCCGGCTGCGTCGCAGGAGCCCTTCCCGCTGCAGCCCTCAGTACCCCAAACTCTGCAAATCCTGAACCACGGCAGGCGCCTTGTCCCCGGAACAGGGCTCCATCCAGCCCTCGGCCACCACAGGAGCTCGTTCCTGCTTCCCTCTTCCCCCATTCCCGTGTGGCTCAGGGCCGCGCTAGAGGCTCATCTCCATCACAGACAGATGCTCCTTTCACAAAGAGCCTCTTCTGCAGCTCTTTTCCAYGCTCGTTTGCTAGACTCTGCGGAAGGGAGAGACTAAACAGCCTCGTGCGTCTCAGCTGAAGGAAGCCGCTATATTGACTGCGCAACGCCTGCAGCTGAAGCACCAGAAAGCAAAGTCAGGAGGGCTCTGCACAGGGGAGGTTTCTGTGGGGGCATTGGGAAAGGGGACAGTTGGCCTTGTTGGCCTTCCATCTCTATTCCACAGGGATGGAAGGAGGGTTCTCCATCCACACACCAGTTTCCATCACTGGAACTTGCTCTTTGGAGATGGCCATAGGCAAAATGAGAAGGTTTCATCCCCTCCCCCACCACCTTCCCCCCCMAAAAATTTAACTTTCTAATTTTTATTTTTTTAAGCAACTCTCAAAAATGCACTAGGGTAATGAATTACTAAAATAAAAATGCCACTGTTGAAAATATTGGTGAGGGATACCTGGTCTACCCCATGGCTCTCCAGGAGTGAACACTGCCATCTAAACCAGTATTAATTTATCCACAAATAAATATAAAATGAAACAACTCTTTGGATTCTCGTGGCCCAGGCCATGTGAGCCTCTGTCTTGGTAGAGGCAGGGGAAGAGCAGCATTGACATCAGGGGGCAATCTGGAGGGGAAAGACAGCAAAAATCCTGAGAGGCACTGCAAGGAGCTGCCACCGGCCCTCAGGTGACACCATCTCCTGTCCAGAGCCTTTGGGCAGCGACACTGCAGGTGGCACTGGGATAGYGGCTGATCCGTTCATGACAACACTTGGCCACAATCCTTCAGCAGGGCACACAGGGATGTTGTGGCTCRGGAACACAGCCCCACCAGTGATTTGTGATGCACTCGGGGCTCTCCAGTGCCTTTATTTATTTGCATTACCAAGAGGACTTAATTATCGCTCCTCACATTAGAGAGGATATTGAGGGCTTCTATTACAGTGAAAATAATTCTAATCCGCACATGCCACAGCCAAACACTTCTGCCAAGGAAAGCCAGACATCAGAGGAGTTCCTATCTGCAGCCCTGGGGCGCAGGGCTGTGCGGGTCCGAGCCAGGCAGGCTGGGCTGCGGGACGCGATGTCCACAGGCACCTGCACCAAGCCTGACCAAGCTCTGGGGTGGCTGAAACAACRAGAACACCCAGGGTTGCTGGAAAGAGTGAAGTTAGAGAACGAAACTACAACTGACGTTTTCACATCCCGAGAACTGGCAAGAACAATTGTTAAAAATAATGAATAAAATAAAAGAAATTTAGRACCAGGAGTCCCTCTTTCTTTGCCGAGTTCTGGCAGCAGCAGGAGTCCAGCAGTCAGAAGAGGGGCCTTGAAAGTACCTGGCAGCTCCTTGCAAACACTAATGCTCATGCCAGCTGCTGGAAACCAAGCACGTCCAAAACGTCCCTAAAGCTCTCGCATTTTTAAAAATGACCTTAAGGCAAAGTTTCAAAAAGTATTTATAGCCCGGTGGGAGTCTCCCAAGTACCTCTGTGATAGGCACCCAGTTCCGCATTAAGTCAGCTCTCAACTTACTGCAGAACAGTTTGTATCTCTAACAGCAACTGTGAGCGTGACAGGGGAACCTGGACCGCTGGCACCTTGTCCCAACAGGGGACAGCGGCAGCAAAACCTCCGCGATGGACACCTTGCAAACAGGCCCTGGGCCTGGGAGCAGACTGATCCATCACCGAATACCCAACGCAGCACCCACAGGTCTTCCCTAGGAGCCCTCTGATCAGGCAGCTTCCATGGGCAGCTCTGCATCTGACTTCCCTGACTGCAGTTACATTTTTTTTTTTCCAAGACTGAAAGATAATTTCATTAACAAAGCCTATGAGAATCCAAAAGGAAATCAGATGTCTCTCAATAAGTGTGATTTAAACTCAGAACTTCAGTTATGAGTTTCAGTTCAATTCAATTTCAATTTAAACTGGGAACTTCATTGTTCCCAGCCAGAAAAAAACTTATGTGCCATTGCTTGGTTACCTGGCATCAAAGGAACTACTCAACTTTTAGAAAAACAAAGAATCTTACATGCTGCAAGCCAAAAATATGCGAACACCTCAGTCATGCTCTAGAAGCTCCTCCATAGCAGCCTGCTGTGGGACCTGGACCTTTCATGGAGAAACAAAGCAGTGAAGCTCCCCAGCAGCAGGTATTTAAAGCCCGGCTGGGGAAGGCAGGCCAGGGGGAGGCAACGAGCAGCAGCTGCCTGCCTTTGCTCTCCAGCAATCTGAGATCTTCTTTAAYGACCATGCACTTCCTTAGCAGCCTGTGTGATGTACAGATCAAATCCTGCCTCGCCACATTGCTAATCTGRGCCCTTCGAGCTGAACAGAGCAGGGCAGAGCCTCTCGCTGGGTCAGTTCTCTTCTGTAAGCGGAGCCATTTGATCTGCTCTTCTCCCACCCTCCCAGAAAAGAGGAGAGCCCTCCTGTTCCTGTCAAATGATGGTGTTCAAATTACTGCACAGTGAAACCCAAATGTACAGCCAGCTTTTTCAATACTGGCAGCTCCACAAGTTAAACATAGTAATTATGGCTCACAGGCATTCAAGGGAGGGATGCATTGCTCTGCCAATGAATGGGGCATCCAGTATCTGCTCGACGCTCATCTCCTGGAACATGCAAATTAAAGAGATCAACACTCAGATGGACTAGAAATGTGCTTTAATGTTGGTGAGCGGGAGGGACAGCCCAGCACCCAGCAGTTACCATCATACCTCCTTGGTTGCACACCAAGCTACCTAGGGCTGAAGTGAAGACCAAGGTCATCCAGATCAGGAGCCAGCAAATGGCTGAGGCTGCTCGTGCTCTTTCCTTTCAAAAMACAAATGACTGTGTTAAGCACAAGGGAATTTTATTTGTTGGGTTGGAAGGTCAAGAACAGCTCTGGTAATTGCAGTAAGGAGCGTCTCCTCCTCCAGCAAGTTCTGGCTGGGGCTTCGTGACAGCCCTGAGAGGCCACATGCCTGCATCCCAAAAGAGAATGGCAGATCTTGTGCCCTCAATGCCACCAGGACCACCCCCTTCTCTAAATAACTTGCTAGCCATGGTGGGCGTCAGGGTTTTGTAGGGAGCAACTGCCTGGATAAACCCTGGCATGACCTTGAGGATGCCCCTGGCCACATGGGCACGGCTTCCCTGGTCACAGCACGGCTGGCTCTGCCAGCTCTCTTGGGAAGGGGGGAGAGAGGAGCTCAGCGTTGAGCRGGGGGCTGTAGCCGCTGCCGTTGGTGCCCCAGCCCCGCTAACATGCAGAAGGGGAGCAGCAGGTCTTCCAGAGCAGCTCATCCTTGAGAGCAAGGAGAACCTGGTGGAGTGTTAACAAAAGCCTGGCTTCCCGTTCACGTATCGACAGCACCAGAGGACACAGGTGGAGAGAAGGCACAAGAAAACAAACCCGATACAGCCCCACCAAGCTTTGCTATACCAACTTACACTCTCTGGCAAGAGAGAACACGCAAAAGGAGCACAGATATTTTGCCCACTTTGAAGTGTTCTTGCTTCACTGTTAGGATGGGAGAAAAGGCACGCGGCAAAACGGCGTTTCCCCAGCCTTTCCAAGTGCCTCATTATCCACTCCAGACAGAAACTCACATTTACTCAAAAATTGGTTGTCCCCTTTAGTCCTAAAACATCCAATAATAAACAATAACCAAATAACCTAGCTGACTTCACTGTTCATTTAGAATATTTGTGCTTATCGAGGTCTTTACAGTTCCTGTTTCAGACAGCTTAATAAAAGATTAGTTCTTGGAAACGGCTGCATTTTTTGCTTCACTGAGAAATAAACACTACAGGCTCATTTCATCTTGCAAGTGGCATAAAAGCAAAGGAGCTGCTGCTCTGAAGGGGAAATGCCAGGCGCTCTCGCCGTTCCCCCCTCATCCCRCCTTAGAGACCTATAAAATCCCTCCTTGCTTGGAAGCAAACCAGCGACCATTGCCTTGCAGGACACATCACCCAGCTGGGCATGCAGATCAAATCCAAACACCCATGCAACTCAYGGCAGCGATTCCCAAAGTTGGAGGGTGAACAGACTGTAGCCTGGTTTACTCCTTTGCTGCGTTGTCCTACAGAAGGCAC